AGCCTCAAGAGTCTCTACAAAAAGTAGAAGCTAAAGTCTTGAGTCTAGAGGCAGAATTTTTCTTTGAAAGACTTCACATTTTCTTGTATATCCTTTAACTCAGGAATTGTCATGTTATGAAGAGTTATTTGCTAGGTCTACTGACTTCAACACTGATAACATTAAACATACCTTCCTAACAGTATTAAGAATTGATTGGCGCCGGGCAGTGGTGGTGCACACCTTTAATCCCAGCACTTGGGAGGCAGAGGCAGGCAGATTTCTGAGTTCGAGGCCAGCCTGGTCTACAGAGTGAGTTCCAGGACAGCCAGGACTACACAGAGAAACCCTGCCTCGAAAAGCCAAAAAAAAAAAAAGATAGAAAGAAAAAAGAAAGAGGGCTGGAGAGATGGCTCAGCGGTTAAGAGCACTGACTGCTCTTCCAGGGGTCCTGAGTTCAAATCCCAGCAACCACATGGTGGCTCACAACCATCCATAATGAGATTGGATGCCCTCTTCTGGTGTGTCTGAAGACAGCTACAGTATATTCATAAATAAATAAATAAATCTTTAAAAAAAAAAAAAGAAAGAAAGAAAGAAAGAAAGAAAGAAAGAAAGAAAGAAAGAAAATAATTGATTGGCACTTATTAAAACTTGTTATTAGGGCCTTAAAAATATCCTTCCCTTAATGGTATATATGGATGAGGGAGAATTCAAGAAAAATTTTGCATATATGTCCATATTTTGTGCTTATTCTTATATTTTCAATAATTTATAAAATTATAATCACATTGATTTTCCTATATCAATATCAGTAATATCCTCTGTAGGTCTTTTAAGATATAATAATTACTAAAAACATTCATATACTCATACCCTCAGTGTTTAATAAATACAAAATTACTTCTCTCAACTTGATCACAAAGTGTCAAATTTTAGAGTGGACAAGTAGAGTAAATTTACATTCTTCAAAGCTTAAAGAAATACGTATATTCTATACTAATTATATATATATATATATATATATATATATATATATATGAATAGATAGATAAAGTGTGGAAACCTTCTTTAGAACAATCGCACCATGAGAAAATGATAAATCACAAGGCAAGGCCATTCAATTCATCTAGAATGATTAACCAGGTAAATCCAACAAGAACAAATGAATTTCATGCCAAGACTAAATAGAAAAACTGCTTAGGAAAAAACTGTCTGATAAATTATGCTAAAGATAATTTAATAAGTTCTTAATAATTATTGATAAAGACATGTTGATCTGAACAGTATACTATTGTGATGATATTGCTGTACAGCGTGTAAATTTGTTACATCTTCTAAATGTCTGATGAATTTGAAATGTATTTACCTTCATTAGGAATGTTAACTGCTACTATCTTTTCTGAAAAGGCATTTGTGTAAACAAATGACTACAAGAAACCAGACTGTCATCTCCCAGTTCCTCCTCCTGGGCCTGCCCATCTCCCCAGAGCACCAGCAGCTGTTCTATGCCCTGTTCCTGGCCATGTACCTCACCACTGTCCTGGGAAACCTCATCATCATCATCCTCATCCTATTGGATTCCCATCTGCACACACCCATGTACTTGTTTCTCAGCAACTTGTCCTTCTCTGACCTCTGCTTTTCCTCTGTCACGATGCCCAAGTTGTTGCAGAACATGCAGAGTCAAGTTCCATCCATCCCCTATGCAGGCTGCCTGGCACAAATATACTTCTTTCTGTATTTTGGAGACCTTGGGAACTTCCTCCTTGTAGCCATGGCCTATGACCGTTATGTGGCCATCTGCTTCCCCCTTCATTACATGAGCATCATGAGCACCAAGCTCTGTGTGAGTCTGGTGCTGCTGTCCTGGGTACTGACCACCTTCCATGCCATGCTGCACACCCTGCTCATGGCCAGATTGTCATTCTGTGAGGACAATGTGATCCCCCACTATTTCTGTGATATGTCTACTCTGCTGAAAGTGGCTTGTTCTGACACCCATGATAATGAATTAGCAATATTTATCTTAGGGGGTCCTATAGTTATACTCCCTTTCCTTCTCATCATTGTATCTTATGCAAGAATTGTTTCCTCCATCTTCAAGGCCCCTTCTTCTCAAGATATCCGCAAAGCATTTTCTACCTGTGGGTCTCACCTGTCTGTGGTCTCACTGTTCTATGGGACAGTCATTGGTCTCTATTTATGTCCTTCAGCTAGTAACACTACTGTGAAGGAGATCATCATGTCTTTAATGTACACAGTGGTGACTCCCATGCTGAACCCCTTCATCTACAGCCTGAGGAACAGAGACATAAAAGATGCATTAGAAAGACTAATGTGCAAAAAA